GGCGCAGTGCGCCTTCGCTTCACTAGGACACCACGAGCTGCAGGGCGAGCAGAGGGTGGGGACCTCGGGACTGCTTGGCAGGACCTCAAGACCCGGACCCAGGGCCTCCGGGGCCTCGAGATTGGTCCAACGGGAGTGGGGCTGGCGGAGGCCACTTGGTGAGGGCGGGGACCCTGGCCTGGCCCTGGGCCCAGGTGCCTGGGGAGGGGCGGCAGGCACTTGGGCAAGGCGGGTTCCCTCTCTGGCCAAGCCCAGCTCCATGGCACACTCGGCGCGCGTTCCAAGGGGCTCGGGTTCCAAGGGGCTCTCCGATTCCCCCCGTCTCTCCACCCTCCTCCCACCGGGGCGGGCAGGAAGGTTTCCCGGGGAGGCAGCAGCGAGGGGACCCCGCGCTCCCTTCCTGCCTGTGTCATCTCCCAGGGCCCCTCCCAGGCCTGCTTCGCACACTAGCTTCACAGAGAAGGCAGGCCTCACAGTGTGGGTGAGCCCCACGGTGCCCACGCGACCCGAGGCTTTCCGGCCTGGTCCGGGAAATGCGTCCCAAGCGAGGGTGGCGATGGCTCTCTCCGCCACCTACATCGTGAGAACTGCTCTGAGCTTATCAGAGGAAACCATGATGCACAAAAGATCCAAGGAAGTGCCCGAGGTGAACTCACTCAACAGGCATCCGGGTTTGATTGCAGATCAATTTCTCATCAGGTATTTAAGCTCCATCCTGGTCCTCCCCCCATTTCTGGGAAATATGTAGATTGTCAGTCTCTCTCTCCCTCCTTCTTTTTTTTAAATATGCTTTTTTTGATTTCAGAGAGAGGAAGGGAGAGAGGGGTAGAAGCATCAATGATGAGTGAGCATCACCCATCAGCTGCCTCCTGCATGCCCCCTGCTGGGCATCGAGCCCACAACCACGGGGGTCATGGAACAGGTGACCTCCTGGTTCCTGGGTAGAAGCTCAAATGCAGAGCCACAGGGGCCGGCCTCTGTCTTTCTAACCGAAGGCTTAGGAAGCTAACCGGCGATCACTAGGAAACTGGGCTCCTTTCTACTTGTTTCAGCTACAGGTGGGGTGGGGTGGGAGGAGTAATACGCATGTGAAGAGTCGGTTCCATTTTTACCACTGTACACACACACACACACACACACACACACACACACACACACACACACACACACACACACACACACAAGTACACACATCACCGCATGTAAACACAAGACCACCCAGGCCCACTCCCGGAAAACCGCTACTCTCCTAGAATCTTCCACGAAAAGAACGCATTCACGAGGAGTAAACCTGGAGCTCAGTCTGGGAGCTGCTCATAAAGAAACACAGATCATGGTTGTACAAACATACGAATGTAAACATTGTTCACCAGCACAAAAATGAGTCATTTTGAGGGTCAGGATGAGTGGGAGTAGTCTTTTAAAAATGTGTTAACAGTTATTCTAAACAAAGATAACAAACACTGTAAACTTCACCGATATAGTATGCCTGTGTCTATTTCTATCTAGAAGTAAAAATTCCAAGATAAATTAGGGGGAATCCAAACCTAAACTCAAGATTGTATAAGAAGAAGCATACTGATTGTCCTTTTGGGCTAATGAAATCGGCAGTGTCCACAGATGCATCCATTTTCGGGGGAAAAAATAGATCGTTCTTGGCCAATTCAAATGTTATATTTATGAAAAGGAATAAAAAAGCCAAGCCAGGTAAAACCAAAACAACAACAACAACCAGAAGTAACCAACAATCGCCAATGAGGTGGGACGTTCCATGTCAATAACTTCAAATTCTGGTTGAGGCCGGGTCAACAGCCAGGACCGCTGGGACCAGGACCAGTCTGGAAATGTAGTAGGCCAGCAAAACTCTGAACTGTTATTTTTTGTAGTTAACATTTAAATGAAGATGCAAGTTCCATTTTCTCCTTCGTGTAAGTCCTAATTTTTTTTTTTTTTTTTTTATGGTTGGGAAAGGACATGAAGCCTTTCTGCTGACTCAATAGTTACGGAATAGGATGGACCACGAAAAGGATACGGATGATGATGATGATGGTGATGCTGCCGCTGATGGTGAAGATGGTGATGCTGCCGCTGATGGTGAAGATGGATGGTGATGAAGATGGTGGTGATGGTGATGGTTAAGATGGTGGTGGTGATGGTGAAGATGGTGGTGATGAAGATGGTAATGATGATGATGATGATGGTTGTGGTGGTGATGGTGGCGATGAAATCTTGTCTCCATCCTCTTGCAAATAAGACATAAAGCCTGGTGTGAAACACAGGTGTCCGTGGGGCGTGGAACGTCTACAGGACGTGTACTATTTGAGCCGAATGTGTTCTCTTTAAGGCATATGTTGGGTTAACTGGGGGCAGTATTTGCTGGGTTCAGAGTAAGAGTAGCGTGATCTTGTCTTAGCATCTGACCATCTTCTGGTCCTTGGTGTTGAGACTGGGCAGAAAGTGGAACTTTCTCGGCTCTGAAGGGCATTCGTGCGAAATGCCCTTTCCTCTCTCTCCCTCTCGGCCCGGAGGCAACTTAAAATAGAGACAGTCACAGATGTACGTGCGAACCACAGTGGTCAGGAGGGAGAAACCCTTGTCAAAACGCAGAACAGGCGCCTCCTCGACGGAGGGTCCTTCTGCGAGCGAGGACCACCGGGAGCCCCTCTGGGTGGAGGCCACCCCGACACCTTCCCCGAGCGGCCGCACGGCCACCCGAAAACGTTTCCCGATCCCCCACGCGAAGCAAGCCGTGGGCTGGAAGGGTGTTGGGTCTGTGTGGAACAGCATCACCGTGGGCCCCACGCGTATCCTGCTGACCACACGGGTGCCAAAGGATGGCCCTTCCACCAGGGACTTGTGTTCCTCACGCTCTCCCGTGCCCTCCAGGTGAACGCACACACCCTGACACGAACAGGCACGCTCCCAGCTCCACCCCCGTCTTAGCTGCACGCCATTCTCCTCCACCGTGGACTGAAGACCTCCATGTCTCGGGCGTGGAGATGGGTAAGGAGAACTCGAGTGGGAAGCCTGCTGAGGACCAGGCAGGGGCATGGTCCCCGGGGTGGGTCAGCCCCTTGAAGTCAGCCCTGAGCGTGCATTGCTGTTGGTGCAGGAATCTAGTTCATGCTCAACGCGTGAACGTCAATTGGACACTGTTGAGATGAAGGCGCTCCTTCATGGAAAAGGAACCATGTGTGAACCGGCAGGCTGGGGGACGCAAACGGAGGTTATTGGTCTGCACGGCCAAAGAGCATAATTTCATGAGCATCGCCAACAACGCCCGGGTCTTGCGTGGCTTTGAAAGGAGAGGCATCCGTAAAAACAATTTTTTTAAAGGTAAAATTGGGTCAGGTCTATGTGATAAAAAAAAATGCTCGTCGGCTCTTTTCCTCCCAAGAAGAGTTTCACTGGAAAATTCCATTCCCTCCAGAACTTCTTTGAAGGTGCAATAGGTTGAAACCCTTCACACTGTGAGGAATGATAAATCCGTGACATTGGCAACTGTGTTGGAAGAGGACCAGCCTCGGGCCCGCCTTCCCTGGGTGCTCGGCACTCTGGTGGGACATGCTGACGTCCCGCCCGGCCACCGGGGCGTGGGAGGTGGTGGATCCACCGACAGGTGAAATTCTCAAAAGAGCAGAATTTTTATCGAAGCCAAGAGATCCCGCCAGTTTCTCTGCAAACATTTATCAACTTACTTTTAAAACTGGATTTGCTAAGTAGAAGCCAACTGGCTTGCGGTCTATGGGGCTTGAGTGCCTCACACCACAGACCTAACCCTTGGACACTGGGTGATCCTACACCCTTAGATTTTCACTCCCTGGATAGGCAGTGACGTTCATCAAAACAGACAGATTCCTCTATGACAACCTTCTGGGCCTCTTCCCCTCCCATCCCCTTCCGGGTCTGGTCAGCACCCAATAAATGGTGTGGAATCAGCACTTTTCTGTATTTTCTCTGCATCATGGTTTATCTTTTCTTTCTTCTGAGACACAACAATACGTCCAATAGATCACTAAGCTAAAATCCTATGCCTGCCAATAGAATTAATTCAACTTTCTGGGCGAGAAGCACAGAGATTCTGGTCCTAAAATTTTAGTATGGAAATTAACCAGCTGGTAGGCCCTTTGCTTTTTTGTTTTCCTGTACATGGTGGGAGCTTCGAAAGCATCTTGGGAAGTACACACGGGCATCCAGTGGAAAAAAAAAACCCCTAAAAACAAACAAACAACTAACATCACGAAGCGAGTTGGTTTTGTTATAAAAATATCAAAAGAGTAATAATTTCAGGGAATCGTTTCTTTGGGCTTTTGCTAGGTATCCATATTTCAAAGTATAAAAGCATTTTTTGTGCATCAAAATATATCACTAAAGACAGCCGTTTCCTTTTTTTTTTGGCATCTGAAGTGATCCGACTTGGAAGTTAATATGCACTAAGAAAATGTTTAAAATTGTATCTACATTTCGTTCACACGCTGGGAAACACGTTTGAGACAAAGGCGTGGGCATGGTGTGTGCGTTGCTTGGAAAGATGGAGATGATCGTCAAAGCGTGTTAGCAGAGCAGCCGCAGGACACACGTTCCGGGGTTGCCCCGAGCGGTCCAATCAAACAGGACCCCGGGCACAACGCGGACGCAAGCCGACCAGCCCAAGACCCCACGGCTGGGACGCCCCGACTCCCAGTGGTCTGCAATAAAGCGATGACCTTCTGATGCTCAGCCATCATCAACATCGTTGACCTCAGCCACATGAAAACCCTTGAAAATCCGATTGTTTCCTCCACGGGAAACCTCGGGATGATGCATGTACCCCCTCCCCAAAGGAATGGCAGCTAACCGCGATGGTGCCGGAGCAAAACAGGCCACAGAGAGGGGAAACGGGTTCGAAACTCACCCCCGTTCACACTGGAACCCGGGCTGCCCCGAGGTCACCCCACACCCATGGGTGACAAAGGAAAGAGCCGGCGGTCGGTCGGGGTCCGAGAGAGCGTCTCAGACATCTGCTTGCGTGTGTGAAGAGATTTCTTTGAAAGGATCATCGACAGCCACTTCCAACATCCCCAGAACCGTTCATGAACATCACCAAGCTGCAGGTTCAGGAGGGGATTAGCAAGAATGTCCCTTGAAAACCCAGTGTGTGTGTGTGTGTGTGTGTGTGCACGCGCGCGCATGTGAGGGTGAAACACATAATGATATTTGCCGTGTTCTCCCACACTGCTCAGAGGTGGGGTGAGGTGTGAGGGCAGGTAAACCGAGCCGCGCCCTCCTTGCTACTCCGATCGATCGATCGGTCACTAGGGGCCTGGGAGGGCGGCAGGGAGCGAGGGGAGCCTGGCACGCGTCCCTCATCACCGCCAGCAACGCTCAGAGGTACAGGTACCCGACCCAGTAGACCAAGTTGAAGAGCAGGAACGACGTGGGGAAGAAGACGCGGGAGTAGGCGTCCAGCTCCGAGATGTCTATGTGGATGCGCCCTTTCCTCCAGGACCCGGATTTGCACTCTTCGTAGCAGCAGAAGAAACTCTGACAGTCCTTGCCGTCCAGACACTCGTAGACGCAGGTCTCCTCCAGTTCCTGCCAGTACAGGGCGTTGTTGAAGGTGACCATCGCGGGCGGAGGGGGCCGCACGTCCAGGAGGAAATAGTTCTGCGGGGCGACAAGGACGGCACCACAGTCACGGAGAACAGGCAAGAGGAATCGAGCAACAGGCACGGGTCCCCCTCCCCCGCCTCGCTGCACTGGAGAGCTCAGTCTGAGGATTCAGTTTTTGCAAATCGAATGCAAGAAACAGCTCGGTGCATGCCCGGCCGGTGTGGCCCAGTGGTTTTGAGTGTGGCCCTATGGCCCAGGAGGTCACAGTCGGGCACATGCCCGGGTTGCGGGCTCGACCCCCAGTACGGGGCGTGCAGCAAGCAGCCGATTGATGATTCTCTCTCATGGATGTTTCCATCCCTTTCTCCCTCTCCCTTCCTCTCTCTGAAATCAATTGAAAAAATAATAATTGTAAGACAATGGAATCCTCGGTCTTAAAAAAAAAAAAAAGGATGAAATCTTACAACAGCATGGATGGACCTAGAGCAGCGGTCACCAACCTTTCGGACCTCACGGACCACTGGTTGGCGACCACTGACCTAGAGGGTGTTATGCAAAGTGAAATAAGTCAGACAGAGAAAGACAAATACCCTATGATTTCATTTATATTTGGAATCTGAAAAAAACACACACACACAAAACCACAAAATAAATGCACAAACAGAACAGAGAGAGACGGAGATACAACAGAGAGAGACAGAGATACAGAGACCAGATTGATGGTTGCAAGGTGGGATGGGGTTTAGGGAGGTGGAGTCAGAAAGGGGAAGGGATTAACAAGTACAAATTGGTAATTACAGAATAGTTACATGGGGATGTAAAGTACAGCTTGGCGAATATCGTCAGTAATCCTATATAATAAAGATGCAATATGCAAATGGTCGTTACACCATGATGTGTCACGACTGACCGCATCATGACCGGATCAGCAGGAGGGTGGGGCAGTGAGCTACACGCAGGTGGCAGAGAGCTACAGGAGGGGGCAGGGCAGCAAGCTATGAGGGGGGACGGGGGGAGCTACAGGAGGGCAGCCGCGAGCTACTGGTGCACAGGTTCGCGCACAGGGCTACTAGTATTGTAATAACTATATATGCTGCCAGGTGGGTACTTAAATTATCAGGGGTTCACTTCATAAATTATATAATTATCTAACCACTTTGCTGTCCACCTGAAACTAATATAAAATGATACTGAAGGTCAACTACATTTGAAAAATAAAAATTTAAAAACAATGTTCATGACACAGAAGCTTGTTCATAAATGTGAGTTCCAAAAACAGGAGTATGGATGTTATGTGCTAATCCCTGGGTAGAAGGATTATGATTCATTTTTTTCCCTTTATCTTCCAAAATTTCTAAGTGGGATATATATATATATATATTTAAGTAAACACACTGCCATATGCATGCGGGAGGCAACAATCGATGTGTCTCTCTCACATAGATGTTTCACCCTCTGTCTCTCTCCCTTCCACTCTCTCTCTTAAAAGGGAAAAATGTCCTCAGGTAAGGATGAACAACAACAACAACAAAAGTAAACGCTTTTTTTTTTGTAAATACATTTCGAAGGGAGGATGTGCATTGTTCTTCAACACATAAGCAGTAACCTATCAGTCTATCTCACTTTAGTAAGAGTTGGCAGAAACATTTGCACCTGCAACGCTATACATACGGAGGGGGCCTGCAGGGTTATCCGCTCATGGATCCACCTTGAGGAGTCTGGACGCAATAACTGTGAGAGAAGCAGAAACAGTAATTACAAAACTGTTGTGAACATCTGCATCGTACATCCCCTCATTAAGAACAATTTTTTAAAAAATATATCTTTATTGATTTCAAAAATGAAGGGAGAGGGGGAGAGACAGAAACATCAATGATGAAAGAGGATCATAGATCGGTTGCCTCCTGCATGCCCCACAGTGAGGATCGAGTCTGCAACCCGGGCATGTGCCCTGATCGGGAATCGAACTGTGACCTCCTAGTTCATAGGTCGATGCTCAACCTATCACTGTGCAACACTGGCTGGACTTACAGGCTTGTTGAGTTAGCTATTTATATCATGTTGCATAAGATCCTTAGGAATATAGATCATTTATCTCAAACTACCCTCCCACTGCCTTCCCCCCGCGCCCCCAAATCTTTGCTCCTGGAACTCACTGATGTTTTCTTCTTCGTGATGGCTGGTTTCCGACAGCTGGAGTAGTAGTTGAGGGTGGCATACTCCATCAGAGCAGCGAAGACGAACAGGAAGCACACGGTCACGAAGAGGTCCATGGCGGTCACATAGGACACGCGGGGCAGCGAGTTCCTGGCGATAGTGCTGAGCGTGGTCATGGTCAGCACCGTGGTGATGCCTGCATGGGGACAGGGCCCAGGGGTAAAAGGAGCCACGCTGGCATCCCTCCACCCCAACACCGTGTTTTATTTTTACTTGATTATTATTTTTAAAAATATTTTTATTGATTTCAGAGAGGAAGGGAGAGGGAGAGAGAGAGAGAAACATCCATGATGAGAATCATGAATCAGCTGCCTCCTGCACGCCCCACACCGGGGATGGAGCCCGCAACCTGGGCATGTGCCCCGACCGAGAATCGAATGAACTGTGACCTCTTGGTTCATAGATCGACGCTCAACCCCTGGGCCACGCCAGCCGGGCCGTTGTGAGCTCCTTAAGGGCAAAGCTGTACCTTGCTCATCTCTGCTGGCTTCTCCGGCATTTAGATGCATGCTTTGCACAGAATGCGACTCATTTACGGATGGATGCGTTCATTAATAATACTGAGTATGGGCTGACCTGGGCTATTTCATGCACGTGGGTCCACACTGGAGATTTCTTTGACTTCCTAACCCCACCGTCACTGAAGGGTCCACGTGGAATTCTCCTGTCAGAAAGAATCATCTCCCTTGGCTACATTCGAGAACGTAAGCGCAGGTCAGGGAGCCCTCAGATGAGGTCAGTGACGTGAGCTCTCCTTCGCGGAAAGTCTGTTTCTGAATCCTCTGCGTTAAGTGACGCGACACGGAGGAGAGAGAGAGAGAGAGAGAGAGAGTGTGTGTGTGTGTGTGTGTGTGTGTGTGTGTGTCTGATGCTCACCTAGTGCTGTTCTCGCTGGTGTGGCGTCTTTCTTGATCCAGAATGACACCCAGGACAGGACCACGGTCAGGATGCAGGGGATGTACGTCTGAATGGTGAAGTACCCCATGCGCCGGCTCAGCTCGAAGTAGATGGTCATGATGACATAGTCCCCTGCAACAGACACGGTTCCGTGGTCAGGCCGCCTCCCCGGGTTCGGAAACCAAACGTTTAAAGCAGGGACCATCCGGAAGGCTCCACTCTCGCGCGCAACGATGGACGCCTTCCCGTGCCCCGCGTTTTTGTGGTTTCTTCTTCTTCAGGACGCCGCGGCCCGTGGCAGCCATTCTCAGGGTGGTTGACAGAAACTTCAATTTCGAGATCACTTCCCAAAAGCCATTTCAAATTGTAATAAGCAAATTAGCATTCCGGCACAAAGGAATCGGCATGATTAAACCAAAGCAATCAGAGAACACAAATATTTTCCTAAGTCAGTGGAATGCCAGGGGACATCGTTTCCCGGGGGAAATGTGACTGAATGATGGGTGATATTAAAAGCCTATTAATTTTTACATAAAATTTCAATAAAGAACAAAGCGGAAAAACAAACAGTAGACAGAAACACAAAAGAGAATAAATCACCCCGGCAGGAATACACACAGCCCCCAAGGAACATCCAAAAGAGCCGAATAACATATTGCCGGCTCCTGAGCCGAGTAAGATAAACGGAGGGACCATGCCCGCGCCCTCGAGGCGCCGTTCTTCTCCGCAAATTCGGCAAAGCCGGCTCTTTCCCGACCCCAGGAGAACAGGCTCAGCAGACCCCTCCCCTGGCACAGAGGTCTGCCCAATGATGGCGTCCCACTGTGGGGATGAGAGTGAGGGGCTGCCAGCCGCGCCCCAGGACCTGACCCTGGACCTGCTGTTGTAGGACAGTGAAAAGCTAGGCAAGTTCCCGGACAAGTGGAACAGGGAAACTGAGGCAGGAGAATTAAAGCCGAAAAGCCCTGGCCAGTGTGGCTCAGTGGATAGAGCAGGGGTGGGCAAACTTTTTGACTCGAGGGCCACAATGGGTTCTTAAACTGGACCGGAGGGCCGGAACAAAAGCATGGATGGAGTGTTTGTGTGAACGAATATAAATTCAAAGTAAACATCATTACATAAAAGGGTACGGTCTTTTATTTTTTTAGTTTTATTCATTTCAAACAGGCTGGATCTGGCCCGCGGGCCGTAGTTTGCCCACGGCTGGGATAGAGCGTCGGCCTGCGGACTGAAGGGTCCCAGGTTCGATTTGGGTCAAGGGCACATGCCCGGGTTGCAGGCTCAACCCCCAGTAGAGGGCGTGCAGGAGGCAGCCGATCCATGATTCTCTCTCATCATTGATGTTTCTCTCTCTCTCCCTCTCCCTTCCTCTCTGAAATCAATAAAAACATGTATTTTTTTAAAAACCAAAAAGCTTTGCAGGCCATACGTAGCAAGACCTTACCTTGAGAACAAAGGGTTAAAACCTCTCCTTCTCACAAGAGAATGCAGAGGGGGAAAGAGAGGGGGAGAGGAGGAGGAATCTGCAACTAGAAAATACATATATTTTTTTAAAAAAATACGTTTTTATTGATTTCAGAGAGAGGAAGGCAGAGGGAGAGAGAGAGAGAGAGACAGAAACATAGATGATGAGACAGAATTACTGATCGGCTGCCTCTTGCACGCTCCCTACTGGGGATGGAGCCGGCAACCCGGGCCTGTGCCCTTGACCGGCATCGAGCCGTGACCTCCTGGTCCATAGGTGGATGCTCAACCTCTGAGCCACACCGGCCGGGCGGGCAATCGTTTTGCTCCGAAGGAATAATTAGTGAGATCTGATTTTAAAAGAGCAGACATAGTCAGATGTGATTGGCATCACAGAACCTCAATTTTCTTGGTGGATGAGCAGTTCATTCAACCGAGCAGTGTTTTCCCCCCGCACCTCCTGTCTGCGTTAGAGGAGGTGACTCACAGGGGGTCTGAGAGATTCTTCGCTCAACCTTATGAGCAAAAAGACACTGCCACTATTTTTAAAGTCCTGACTCTAAAACCCAGACTGATGTATTACCCAGATTGCACTCAGGCAAAATATGACAGACAGCCAAGGAGACACCACTTTTAGAGTCCTTCGACTGGAGCTATTTTAGACGTGCATTTCTCCTCGCACTCAAGACATAAATCTCACTAGAGCGCCCTGGTAAGGCCTGTCACGTCGAATAAAATGCTAACAGCTGCCCTGGCCGGTTTGGCTCAGTGGATAGAGTGTCAGCCTGTGGACCAGGGGGTCCCGGGTTCGATTCCAGTCAAGGGCATG